TACAAGCAGTACAAGCGCCGGTGTGGCCAAACTCTTGGTGCGAAGTATATTTGCCGCAAATGCCGCACTCCTCTTCTCGACAAACTGGATGATGAGATTGACACCTCGAAAGAGGTCTGTCTTTGAAGCCGCTACAAAAAAATTTGTCCCTAACGCCAGTTCGCACTACCCGCAAAAGGCGATCGCGATCACTTCCCGCAAAAACGAAAATGGGAGCCGTTTTGGTTTCATGTTTCTAAGTTTAGTATTGTTTTTCACTTTTTGTTCATCAAGATCATCACGAAATCTGCTTTCTCAAAATTTCATCTCAAACACATGATCACGCTGTTCACTTGCAACTTCCATTTTGCTGTCTTACAAGAATAAGTTTGTTTACACCATTTACACCATTTTGTTTATTTTGATTACAAATTCTGTCTTCTTATGCCTGTTATTTTCGAATAAAAGAGTTTTCTTTCATGTACATGATTCACTGCAGAGATTGACCGGGCTGAACGCTTACGAGCGTGTGTCTTGCGATCTACAGTAGAGTAGATTTTCCGCTTAATATTTAACCGCTTCACCTCTAGTGTCTTGCACTAGAGGTGAGATGCGGCTAAATTTGCGCGTGACCAATAAGCAGCGCCTGTAACGCCGTCCAATTGCGTGCGCAAATTGCCGGCATTATTGGCGTGACTATGTGTTCACGCGCAAATTTTATCGCATTTCACTTTCAATGCAAGCACACTATATTAAGCAGAAATACTTGATTTTAACATTGGCAGTCGCGCGCATGAGTCATCACAGTACTAGTAATCGGCAGTCGCGTTGGAGGCACGCTTGCCTGCGTTCAGCCTCACAGCGATCCGGTCAATTTCGTGCTTCGAAGGGGACATCGTAGGTTTTTTGCAAATATAGGAAGGGAACTTCTTTTTTTTTCTCAACAAAACTACCTCGTAACGAGGCCTGCTGCTCTCTTCCGCACTAAAATTTGAACAGTCTGAAATGCGTGTTTCAGGTATAAGTTCAACCTCAATCAACTGTTGGTCACCTTGCATGGTTTCATGAGTGTCTGAAGGCGTGTAAAGGTCAAAAGAGGTTTTTCTGAAGCCTGAGATACATTGTTGTTTTTGTAGGCTTTCTTTCAGTTCGACATGGCGAGTTCAATGCATTCATGTTGGTTCGTATAATGTGAGCACAAATATTAGGTTTAAAGTTTTTTGGGACACACTCTATAAAGAAATTGACGTTGTCGTATTCGTCATGTCAATGGCTTACAGAGCGTTATCTTGTTCTTGGGAACTACGAAAAATGTGAGGGCGTAAATAATGTCCATAGCGATTTCGGTCAGGCCCTCGAAGTATGACGTGGTCAAGTGGGCCCCATCTTGATTTGAGGAAACGATCTGCGAAAGCAGCTTTTTGCATGTAGTTTGCAAAACCATCTCCTCAGAAAGCATGCAACAACTCTTCTTTATCACCACTTTCAGAACGTTCTCAGTATAATGTTTGCACCCAGTCACAGCAATATGTAAAGTTTCACTTTTCTCCCCGTTTTTTTGGTCGAAATCGATTTCTCCTTCCACCAGTGTATGTCTCGAGCGCAGCACAAAATGATGTAATTTTGTCGAATGACAGGATCAAGAAGCAGCTTGTCAAAAACTTTACGACCGCGATGTAAAAAAAATTGCTTCTTCCAGGAGGGTAGAAAATTGCGCGAAAATGGGAGTTGTAAATCGAGTAGTAGCCCCTGCAATGCGCCGTATGTTGGTGAAACAAGCCATTGCTGAACGATTGCATAGAAAAGTATTTGGCAAGTGATGAGACGACAAGTGGTAGCACCGGGAGACACGAATGATGTTTATGGTGGAAATGACTTTGAAGTCAAATCTTAGATATAAAGCTGAATGTCTGTTTATCCGTATGTCTGTGTGTACGTATGTTCCGAATAGAAAATTCATTTCTGAACCGATCGAGACCAAACTTAGCACACATACACTTCGGGCCCCGGCGGGTGTCATAGGCTACTTTTCGTCATCGATCGATGTCGATTTTATCAATTTTTTGCAAAATGCTGATCACCCCGTGGGAGTGATCAGCATAATCGATTACACCCCTCTGCCAAATTTCAGCCTCTAGCTCAAATTTTGCAAAAAATCGATAAAATCGGCATCGATCGATAACGAAAAGTGGACTGTGACAACCGCCGGGGCCCGAAGTGTATGTGTGCCAAGTTTGGTCCGGATCGGTTGAGAAATGGAATTTTCTATTCGGAACATACGGCGGAGCCGGGTAAGCCAGCTAATTCACAGTAATAATCAAAACAAAGATCTTAGCTAGGAAGGCAATCGGCTTTGAATTTCTGCCAAAAATCCAGGAATGAATAGCAAAAATGGTTGTCTGTTGACAACTGCTGAAGTTTTTCCCATCGTATCTCTATGCGAGCTATGAAGGGTAGACAATCCAAGCACCACTCTACAGTGTGCACTCGCCTGCCACTGTCATTTACTTCCGTTGGGCGTCACACAACGGGTCAAGGAGTATGTTCGTTTCCGCGTGCAGATATTTGCAAAATGCCCCCATGCCTCTTCAAATCTTTGTTGCTTCAAACTTTTAGGTCTCTGAGGGAGATGAAGCCGTTGAAATGTCAGACCGATTGAACAATCTTATCACCATAACAAAGCTGTTCGGCATAGCAGAAAAAGACTACGAAATTCATCTTAAAATTTTATTGAATAGGATATCTATCAGGAAGCAAAAGTCTCTGTCTCTTACAGCCTAAGCGTTCTAAGCGCATTGTAAGTTGTATGGTGCTCTTTGAGGGTAGTAAAAAAGTTGACATCAGTATATAACATCATATTGCAGAGTTAAGAATTTCGATTACTTACAAAAAAGCTCTCAGACTTGGCAGTCTTAAAGTAAATTGATCCCATTGCGCCGTAATGGAAATTGGCGTGATGTCCAGCAAAGCAAAGCTCAGTTCAAAAATTATCATGTATTTATAAATTATTCATATTCACAGTATTTCATTGCCTACGGAATGAGATGGATGCTGTGAAAAATATGCAGTTGCCTGTAGCCTCTGTTTGAAAACACACATTCTAAATCATATGCATAAAAGGACAAACGCATCATTTTATTGTATTTCAGCGAGATTATTCCCAAATCAATGCAGTTATGCTGCATAAATGAAAGGTTTTCTCTGCTTTATAGATTTTAGATTACGATTTTGTATGATTTGTTATGCGCATCTCGAGCATGGCTAGAAGCATGTGTCCCAATAAAAAGCTCTTCTTGTATGATTTTTTATTGAACTCTTTTCGTTTCACGATTTGTTAATTAGCAACTTGCTAAAGAATTGCACGATAACTACTCCAGGCGTCAAAGCATAGTCTTAATTTGAATTCACTAATGTGGAGTCTGGAAACCTTATTGGAAACCTCTCCTAAAATCCTGCTTTTATGCTCACAGGCACCGTCCACTTAACTCCTATGTTTATTTTTCAAAGCCTTCTCATGTCGCTTGTAAATCAACTCCAGATTCTGCGAAAACCCGACAAACCCTGTTGCCAAACACGCAGGGCGAGTTCTAAGGAACAGAGTTTGGTTGGGTACGCACGGGTGGGGCAAAGGTCGCGCCCACTCAAAGAGGTGCTGACGTGACAAGTCCGTCAATTGATGCAATTTTTGAAGCAATTTTCTCGCTCTGGAAACATCTTCTGGCAACACGAGTTTAGCAGTTCAGTTGAGGGCCACGCTACTGTTAAGCATCAGAACATGTGCAGAAAATCTCATCGACTTCAATTCGAGCGGGCAGTGACTTTAAAGGCAGTATCTTACCAAATTTGAGTAGTGCGGGTTCCCACATGTTCTGTTAGAGGACCTCTAGACGAACGCTCCAAGTTCGACTCGACGCGGGTCCTTCTACAACGAGAAATTCGCCCTCAGAGTGGCCCGCAAAGCGCTATCTGGCCCGCACGGCCGACGCTCTCAGCTTCCCCGTTATGCGTTTCAGCATGTCTCTCTACTGGCGTCCAACTCCATGGTGTTGCCGCTAATGTGGCGGAGGCTAGGCTGAGAAGGCACAACTTGGTTCCCAGGGGCTTTCAAAAAAGCATTTTTGTGCATTTTATGCTTTTTTGGACTCGCATTGGGTTTAGACAGATAGGAAGAGACGAGAAATATGCAAAAATCTCGAAAAAAAATTTTTGAGACGGTGCCTTTAAGCTTCCAGTAGAGCCTGTTTTAAAAAGAATTACTATTTGTACGGGTCGCTGCTGATGATGCAGCATACAAGATTTGGATTGCATTATCAGTAAACAATGTATGTTGCCAAAAAAAACAAGGTTTTCATGTCTGAATTTCATTTTAATTTCCATAACTTCACTTTCATTGGATTTGGCGCATTCAAACTTAGGGATTATGTAGAAGGCAATGTGAGCTACAAATGGGCACAAATTGTCTAAATTTTGAACACGAAATAGAAAAGTTTCAGGCGTTTTTCGAAAACTAGCGAAATTTGAGAATTTTTGGGGTTTCAAGCTAAAATGAAGCCTTTGGCAGCCTAGACCATGCGCAGTAATCAGGATTCGTCTACAAGTCTATAGTAAGGTTTAGGTATTTGACCTGCCTAACGCGAATATCACATTCATTTGTTGAATCAACGCTTTTTTCCTTGTTTAGGGTGACACCCCATATCGTACACCTACAGTAATCCTACAAAAAAGCCCTTATCACGCAATTTTACTATCGTTTTCCGGATAACACCTCTATGCCAAGTTTTAGCCAAATCCATAAAACTTTGAATTTTTCCCTTCATACCATGCACCTACCAATCCTCACTGCGACGTCAGAATTTGGTAGGACAGGAGCTGCGCTTGTAGCTTACGTAATATCCAACGCAGTGGCAAAATTCGAGTGCGCCATGTTGAGTGAGAGGGAAGTTATGAGACCAGTTGCAAAACTTAATTTCCAACCTAATAAATTTGTTTTGCTGAGGCCACACATTTCTTAAATCCTATTCAGGTGAAACGAACATATTTAACGATGTATGGTTTGCTTCTGGTAAGAAATTCCTTTTCTTTCCATTATTCCGCTCCTGTTCGAAACAATGTTTCAGCCGAATAGGAGTATATCACTAATTTCGCGCCAAATTTAGTTCTATTTTGCAGGCCTTCGCCATAGTTGTGAGCGGCTTTTTTGCTGGGCAGCTTGATCATGGTAAGTACATATAAGAAAATTTTGAACGTTTCTGTAAACGGGTTGATCGGCCCAAAAACTATGTGAAGAAAGAGCCGGAAAAACACAAACCCTTACCATCTAAAGGCTGAGCGCATGAATTTTTGTCGTAAGGCCTCGACACCTCACGCGACTCAGTTGCAAGGCGAACTGGCAATATTCCATATGTTTAACTCATCTCGGACGCATTCTAAATGTGACAAAGCAGGGCATTATATCAGTTTATGAGGGTCGAACTGGCTATGCATTTGTAATCTGTCATTGTTGGATTTCAAAATCTGGCAATTTGTCAGATCGAGTGGCGACTGAAACCGCGTGGAGTATGCCCGAGGCTAAAAAGTAACATAAGTTTTTGTAAAGGTAGAAAACGCCATGCAAACAGAATTGCAGCACAAGGGTGAAGTTGGTGTGGTGCATGAAATAGTAGTACAGATCCACATCTTCACTGATCAGTAGGCTATAAGAACTTTCGACCAACTTCGCCATGTTGTTTATTTTTTAGCCTAAAACAAATGCCTCAGCTGCCATACTCATTGGACCCGGCTGCATGCAAAGCAAAGTGTTTGTTCAATGTCAGTGGCTACTGCTATACTCGTTCTCCCTTTTTTCAGATTTTTAGGGCTTGCGCAATATTACCATATAAGTGAGGAGACATTTGCCAGAAAAAGACATCCATAATATACAAAGCTAGTGCATTGAATCGATCCGCTGGTTGAAGCTCCTTGATGACAACCTTTTACTACTATTATAAGAATAAAGTCTGACAAATTTTTGTTGTCTGACGATACATTCTCAACAACCGTAATCTCGATTACGTTTGCACAGCACTTTTTTGTTGTCCAAAAAATGCAAAATAAAAAATTTGAAGATTCTCTAGCCATCGCGTCATCTCATGATTGTCAAGGGCACTGTGTCACTTTTACAGCAAAACTACCTTTCTTCCATAAAGATGACATTATCGAATGTGTTGATTTGGCAAGTAGGGAAGAATGTGTGGAAAACGAAAACGAATTTAGAAATCTACAAATTAAATGTATCGAATTTAACAGCGTTGTCAAAAAGCAAGTTTTTTTAGCACCTGCAATGCCACTAACAGCATCGAGGAATGAATCCAATACTTCACTTCCCAGCCTCTCTCCGGATATTTTACCGTCGCCACCACTTTCACCAATCGATTGCGTATACGGTCATTGTCCCGAACCTTACACGTGCATAGCTGGTTATTGTGTGGACGACGCTAAGCGTTGCAAATTCGACTCTGATTGTGGCCGTCCTTCCTTCAGATGCGTGAGAGATGTGTGCATGCAAGAAATCATAGAAATTGGGCGACCTCGAACTTTGGAAGCACATTTTTAACTCATTGTTTGTCAAGCGATGTCTGACAATGAAATGAAGTTTGGTATCACTCCGCTGTGTACGATCAAAATTAGCATAGCGAGATTCTCTGTTTTGCAATCACAGTTCTCTCCAAGCATGCGTTCGTCTATCCAAGGGAGGAATCCGCGTTGGTTAAAATCGTAGCTAGCCATTTTTTGAGTTTGATAGTGCTGAACAAAATTATAGGTCCACTCTAAAAAGTGGCATAACTCACTCTGTTGTCAATAACGTTCCAGATTTTTGTACAGCCGTGTGTTTATCAGTCTACTATCAGCCACCAATATGAGTTTCGTTTTCGTTTGGTTATTAGAGAAAAAATTGAAAATTTTGAAAAAATTAGGCTTGAAGACTGGCCAAAATTATAGGTCCGCCTGGAGTTTTTACTTATTAAAACGCTTCTTAGCCCTGAATTTTTTTAGATAGGTGCACATCTAAAAACGTTAAACAGCTGCTTAGTCAAGCTGTGTCATACCTCAACAAAGAAGTGATTATCTGCTTTTTTGCCTTGAAGATGCTCTTACATGTATTTCCCACAGACCTGCGTTGAGGAAATTTTCAGTTTCTCAGCTGGATCGGAAGGTACGGGGTTTAATGTACCTTCTGGATGCTTTTTGACGTGAGCATTGAAAAAAAAATCCGACTTCTGCCTTCAAACTTCTTTTACAATGTTCTCAGAAGCATTAAGTAAGGTAAAGGCAGTGTTCCTACAAAGGGAAGTCCATATTCCATGGTTACAACTTTCTAGAGATCCTAGCATTCGAGTATAATTAGTGAAATCACCCTACAGAAAATGATTACGGCAACCACCAAAGCTATTTGTGGCTCCGACCAAAATTTTTAGAAGAATCATGTGCTAACATACACCGCAAGCTGTATCCACTATCAAGTAGATAATTACTGTCAAAAATCTAAGTGAGGTAGCACTTGACAAGCTATTTTGGATCGCGTAACACCATTTTACGTTGCACACACAACTCATGTTTCGAAAAAGAAGCAAGGCAGCTTTGGGGACACTTGCAAGTATGGCGAACAGCTTTATTTTAATGTAAAGAGTGCTTCTACAATATCGAGGTTATAATGACAGTGCATAAAGGGTTTTAGGGCAGAAACTGAGGCTTACTCTGCCGATTAAGCCGATGTGGGATTTGCTTCAGCAGCAAAAGTCGGATTTTTTCCTCAATGCTCACGTCAAAAAGCGTCCACAAGGTAGATAAAACCCCGTCCCTTTCGATGCAGCTGAAAAATTTCTTACTTAATTACTCAACGCAGGTCTGTAGAACGAAATACATGTAAGAGCATTTTCAAGGCAAAAAAGCGGATAATAAGTTGTTTGTGGAGGTATGACACAGCTTGACTAAGATAGCTGTTCAACGTTTTTAGATGTGCAACTATCTAAAAGAATTCGGGAGCTAAGAAGTGCTTTAATCAGTAAAAATTCTAGGTGGACCTATAATTTTGGCCAGCCTTCAAGTCTGGTTTTTTCAAAATTTTCAATTTTTTCTCTAATAACCAAACGAAAACGAAACCCATATTGATGACTGACAGTAGGCTGGTAAACACACAACTGTACCAAATTCTCTTTTATTGACAACAGAATGAGTTATGGCACTTTTTAGAGTGGACCTATAATTTTGTCAGCACTTTATGAGTTCTGAAAAAAAGATACTCAATGTCAGTTGCGGCAAATTCATTCACTTTATCTGATGTTCATAAGCAATCGACGCAGGTACGAAAGTTGTTGCCTCTCTCAGCAATTACAACAACTTATGAAACATTCAAATCATTCTAAGATTTATTAACTTCGAACCTGGAAATCATAGCAGGTGTGCATAAAATTTCAAGATCAGTTCCATTCGTTAAGATTTTGCTGGCGAACTAACTTCGATGCTTTGCCACGAGGAAACTAAGTGACATACTAGCTCAAACCGTTACCGACATACCCCGTGATAAAACTCAATATTCCGTCACGCCCTATAAACGTGTTGTTTCCGTTTACTGCGCTTGGTTCAACTGCCTTAAGTTTACAAAAAATCAGCAATCATCAAAAATCATCAATACAAAAAATCAATCAAAAGATAATAAAACAAGAAAACTTGCAAACAGTCGTTTCTGCAAACATGAGCCTTAGTGATCCGTACCACTGTTTAGCTACTCGAAATACAAAAAGTCGAAGGTCGAAGTAGAACTTTTGAATGCGTCATCATCAAGGCGGTTTTTCCATAATTTATCTATTTATCCTCTACATTAATTCCAGCTATTGAATAATAGTTGGAAAATATAAGATTTCCAAGAAAGACATTGCAATACAAGGCCTATGCTTTGAGAGAGTACCAAAGAGGCATACAGCACACCATTGGATAGAGGAAAGTACGTTCTGGAAAAGCAAACCAAGAGCGGAATGAATAATAATTTCTGTGAAAATAAATGCAATTCGAAGACGTGGGATCTTGACCAAGGTCCGATCTAATCTATCGTATTACCTATGGCATCCTCGAATGGTTCAATATATAGTAGACACACTTACATAAACAGAAATAAAAACTGAAAAGCAGCAAATTCCGCTTCTATCGAGCCTTGACTCCTTCCACCTCCTCAAGTATGAGCTACATACATGCGTGAGTGTTTCACGGCCTAATTTTCGCTCTTGTTCGAGGCATAAATCTTTTCTACCCACCTGATAAAAGTGGTTACCAACCTTATAGAAGCGTAAAGTCATATGTCAAATGATGTTCAAAAATGGCAAGAATCAAATTTGCCGTTTTGTACCTTACTCAAAACAGAACTTTAAAAAAGCTCGATGAGAACAAGTCTTGCTCAGCAAAAGAGCAGGGCAGATTTATTGTACCAACAGTTCCGATTTTTGGTGCGAGTTTCAGATTCTGAGTAATTCTGCACAGAAAAATCAAAATTTGAGAAATTTCTTTCGAAAGCTTTTATCACCGTACTTTTTGTGAGTTAGAAGGTTATTTGAATGCAGTTGTAAAGCAGAAAATTTCCTCTTGAGACAAAATCAGAAGTACGCAAATACTTTCAGAAATCAAAAAGCTATGAATTTTTCGAAAATGGTGCGAATGAATTATTTAGCCAGCCTACTAACTTCCTTTTTTGTCAATGGAATTTCTTAAAATAACTTTTCTTGAAAGAGGTTACTTCTCTTTACTGCAGTATTGCTGCCATGAATTACTGTGAGAAAATTCGAATGGAATTAATTGAAGGTATTATCAAGATGGCAATTTTCAAGAAGGATCACAGAAAAAATTTGAAAGTACTTTGTTCACGTGAAAAATTATGCGACTACTACAGTACCTTTGCCATTGAACGAAGTGTTCGAAAGTTGGAAACAAATCAAGGGAACTACTTTCGTACTGCAATTTTTGAACATGCGTAAATATGTATTAACGCTACAGCGGAGAGAAAATCAATTTTGAACATGGGATTCATGACTTTTTTCTAGCCGTAAAAAATTAGTGCTAGAAAGCGAGTGCGTTTAATTTTTGAGGAAAACGCAAACACAGAAATCAGAGAATTCCACCAGAGAAAAACCTGTTTTTGATTAGTCCGAATTCTGAAATAATAAATAATTTTCCTTTGATGCTGGCAGAGGTACTGCATGCGCAGGATTTACTCCATCAAACAAAGATGCCTTCAGAATATTTCTTGATCCTGTTGCAAAATGCCAACCTTGAGTTTTTTCTTCTAAATGCTTCTATCCTATTTTCATAGTACAAGCGGTATCGTTTTTTGCTTTAAATGAGAGCAGACCCAGGCGTGCCGCTGCGCATGTGTTCCGCAATGCGGTCCATTTCTCGCACATCGCACACTTAATGCCTACCATGGTAAAAGCCGAACTTTTAGCGTGTTCGCCTTTAGAGCAAACAGGGTGCGACTTATACACCTGAAAATGTATTATCTGATAGTATTACATAGTACAAACATTGCAACATCGAGGATGTCTCTTTTTCCAAAGGAACTATTAATTTTGAGAATTTCCATTGACAAGGGAGGAAGTCGTGTTTTTGTCTGGCGAACAGCGTCTGGTGTCCTTCGAAGCGAATTTATTTATCAGGTCAGTTCAAAAGTTTGTTCGCACTATCTTCAAAAATTCATGACTTTTAATTTTCCCAGCCAATCATTTGGATCTATTCTTGTTCAAAAAAGTAATTTTTGTTCCTCATAATGATTTTCTTACCGGTGATCACATATAGCATAGATAGGAGCAGTGAAAGAGAATACTCAAGTCTTGTGTTTTCAATGCAGAGTTATAAGAAATCCGAAATTGCAATGAAAATCGGAGCAGTCGTTAGGTTATGTTTCACTTGCTCTTTCGAAACGATGAATTTGCGCTAATTGAAGGTTTCTATCAAAAGCTATGATTTTTAAGCTAGCAGTACAAATCAGCTGATTTGATTTTTGTGAACATTTTCTCGAAAAACATGATTTTTGATAGAGACTTTCAATCAGCCAAATTGCTGACAAAAAGAATAGGCAACAAAACCTCCTAGAAAATTGACAGCTTTGATTTTTTTTGCCAGATTAAGGTTGTGACCGTATACAGAAAGTTGAAAATTGATTATATCTTTATCGCTGCTATCTACGCAATGTGTGACCAACAGTGATCCGCTAAGATATTATTAGCAAAAGCATGATTGCTCTTCCGAACAAAAATAAATGTAACCAAATCAGCTGGAGAAGTCAGAAATTATGGAATTTTGGATATGGTGCAAACGAACAATCAAACTCTCCAGCTGCGAAGCGACTACACAAAGCCAGCTTCCATCCACAATTTCATCCTCTTTATTTTCGATTTTCTCCTTAATTGCCTTCAAAAGGGAATTTTCAGAGAGCGCGCACACAAATTTTACAGCCCTCAATTCGGTTAGCTATCTGCATAGATTATTATGAAGTTTCAACTAGATGTTTCCCTCAATAAATAAATGAATTTCAAGAAGAGAGAAAGGGGACACCTTCAGAAGATGCTTCCTCAAAATGGTTTCTGAGAAGTGAGTAAGAGGACACCATCGAGAGATGCTTCCT